TGAAGACCAGTTTCTGTGGAAACTGGGTTGTGCACAGGAGCACAGGGGAATCTCTAGTGATTTCATTCTCTAAGACTATTCGAGGGCAAAGTACAAATTTATTACAAATGTAATATTGGCTTCTAAGGTAATATGGCAATTTGAATACGTATATGAAGAAAGTACAAAATAAAATCAATTATGTAAGATTTAAATATTTCTTGACATCACCTGTGCAACATGAGAAAAAAAAAAGTGGTTAATCTGGCCTACAAGGTGGTTTGAGATGAAACATTGGAACGAATTACTTTCATTGAACACTACTAGAAGACTCTATTAACAGGACATACTAGTGGGACTGTCCCTTTCATTCAGTTTATATCTACAACAGTTGGCGCATTACTCAAGAAACTCTTTCAATCACATATTAACTTTGTAGCTACATACTTGATTTTAAAAAGCAAGATCTTGCCCTGCTGGAAGGCAAGGTGGTAGCCCACAGTAATGGAACACATTACTCTTGAACTGAATTCGCAACCCTCTCAAGGGCTGACTTCTGAATACACGCACAAATGAATTGAAAGACCAGAGGAAAGCAGGCTGAGCTGGTGCATAAAGTCCCCCGATGAACTAGAAGCAAAGGAGAAAACAAGCCAAGTTATAAAACGAAACACTGGAAACAAGTTTGTCTGCAAACTGGACATGATGACATACAACAATAATTTGTGGGCCCTCCTGATATCTTCTGAAGGCTTCTTTTCGGTTAGTTTTCAGCTCAAATGATGTGTGCCTGACACCCTTTACTTTCCAGCTCTTCAGAAATACCTGCAACAACAATAAAAGCATTAGAAGAAATCATGTTGGACTACAGACAAAATGTCAAGAAGTGCTTTCTGAATGGGTTGGTTTCTCTGTTAGATATTGAAATTTGTGAGTTCCTTGAATACAAATTTAAGAAAGCGAAAAATGGGCCTCTACTAGAGGCAGAATGAAAGGTCAGAGGGAGGACAAATATTCACACAGTGGTCTCTACTTGGGAGTTAATTCAGTAATCCAGGATGAGCTACCAGCCCACTTTCCTGAACAAAAATCTCACTCACTCACCAGTCAGTCGTGCTTCTAAAGGATTGAACTTGCCCATTACACTGCTTGTAAGTTCAGCTCAGAAACACAAGAGAGCAGAAAGTTTAACGCTGCAATGAAGGGGCAGTCAGGCATAACTAAATATTTAAAAGGACTTTCATTCTACACAAGCCAGTTACATCTTCTTTTAAAGTGGTCAGAGAAAGATATTCTTCAACTGAGATTAGAGCTATGCAACTTACAGTGATCTACTTTAAAAATACTTGCTTGCCAGAAACCTTACATTTTTCTAGATGGAGGGATTGTAATCTTTCTGTGCAACAGTATTGACAAACAGGATTGGGAAAGCACCACTACACCAAGTCGACTCAACGGTTGATAAGATGGTCAGCTCACAAATGTTGGATTGTCAATAAATAATCTGGTAGTTTTGCCACAATCAGACTCAGCGATTCAGTTCCTTTGCACTTTTTTCCCGTGATGTGAAGCTATGTGCATCTTCTCATTTGCCGTCAAAGTCAGCTTTCCAAGTCATAATGAGAATACAATTTGTGATCAACCATACCTGGAAGCTGTAAGATAAGAAGGTATTGATTATTTTTGCAGCTCCATCATATTTTAAAGCGGATCATAGAACACTGTCCTCATACCTACACGTATCCCTATTCAGGAGAACGCTGCTCTGCAATGAGGGTGCTAAAGTTCCACAGCTCAGCCAGGTCGAAGACAGAATGGCATTGCTTGCCACGCATGACAAGTGAAGTCACCACCCCTCCAGCACTTCCCATCTGAAAAACAAAGAGTCATAAAATGTGTGAATCAGCAGAGAGTAACAAGACTATAACAGCACAATACCTTTATAAAGAGGTTTTGCCAATTACCAGTTTCTGTGAAAACTGAGAAATGAAATGGAGGGGTTCAGAGCCTTTATATGACATCAGATTGGAGTAACTCCTAAAAGTTCGACACTGTCATTCATGGCTGATAAGTTACCTGATGTGTTCTAAAGTCTGTAAAAAACCACTTACTGACAAGCCCAGTTCGAGTGAAAACTGTTATGTCCAAACCAACTAAGGTTAAAAAGTGAATTTAAAGAAGTTTGAAGGAATTGAAATTTAGGATGCTTGCAGCGGTAAAACGTGAATCCCACTATTTATAAACCACAGATATTCTCAGAGATGAAAACCTGAAAAATAAAAACACGAATTTAGCAGAACAACAAAGCACCATAACCTCGACACACGAGCCGGCCCACTAGGGGAACAAAAGATTTCCTGCAAATAGCATTCTGTACCTTATTTGCAGGAATTCCTGCAAGTAAGGTCATCAGCGCTATTTGTAGGAAATTCCTGCATATAGACACGCCCCAAATTCACTCTGTTTAGGTTACTAATGTCATGCTGTGATTTTCAGGTTATGATTCACTGTACAAAATGTCCCGGGCCTCTAAAATCATGGAGCTGTTGCCTCCACCACCTGGTAAGTGATTTGCATTTATATTTTTCTTCCAAGACCAATACTTTATTCGCACCGAGGTGTAGACCGTTTAAGTGAACGGGTATATTCGCAGGTACGAGGGGAGCAAACCAAACCTAACAAACCTAACCTAACCTCGTCTATAGTTTGATTCCCTGCGGATAACACATCAAGGAACGGCAGGCTATACGCAGGTATAACTTTACCTGCGGATAGCGTGCCGTCCTGCGGACGGCTATCCGCAGGTATACCTGCGCCGCAGGTATACCTGCGAATATACACTCCCTTTAAGGGACTTTAAGGGATGAGGTTTCATGATGTCCAGTATGGTTGTGTTAGTAGCTTTCGCGCAAACTGTGATGAAGTAATGTTTTATTTTCATTTGTTCTAGATTTTCCAAATATTAGAAGATCAGTCATGAGCAGGGAGAACCTTGCTCTCTTATCACCAATGAGTAACCCAGTATGTAGTAACGAGAAAGTTAGAGGTATGTTCAAAGTGATAAAATATTTGTTGTTCGTTTCTGTTTACAAATAATTTCCAATATATTGTTTCATTGTGTTTTAGCTTTGTGTGCATACGCTCATTCAGAATTATTAGATATATATTTTCAGATTGACCTGTCTACCTTATCTTTTCTTCTCTTTACAGCAACTACCAAATCCTACATCAAAGGTATTACAAAGAAAGAGAAAACCTGGAAATTCCTCAGGTCAAAAGGTTGTAAAAGTGGTCAGCCTATCCAGCAAGTGAAAAACACAACTAAAACAGATTCTAGTAAAAACATCCCAAAGAAAAATAAACCTAATGAAATGAAAACAACATCAGTTCAGGTAAACTTGTGCTTGTATACTGTACTTTACAGTTAGTAATGTTATTGGAAAATTTAAATGCAACTTTTTTTCTTCTTACTTTATTTTTTCTAACCATTAGGCTCCAAAATCAACATCTCATCAAAAGGAGAACAAGCCTAAGAACACTAAGTGCCGTGTCTCAGAGTTCTGGAAGTAAAAAACAGACCAAGACTCAAGAATCTAAAACAGTTGAGGTAATGTGTTGCATTAAACTAGACTTTAGTTGGTCATGATAAATCTTTATGAATACGTTGCAGTCAATTTTAAAAAATTACATTAATTGAATGGGTCTATATTTTTGCTCTCATTTATATTTTCTTTGTAGCCCGCTGCAAAGGCGCCAGCAAAGAAGGATCTGGTTACGAAGCTGTCAGACTTAACCAAACTTCTCACGGATGTGCCAAATGAGAAACTTAACTCCACTTCAGCTAAAGTAATTCTGTTATATTTGTATTCTTTCTCTCTCCCATGAAACCTTATAATGCTTTCAAGATGTTTCAACTTTAGCTGGTTTAATTTTAATGTTTATCTTTCATCATTATATGCATAAATGTTTCAATCAGTTATTTTTGATTTACCTCTAGCTTGATTATTTGATGCCATATACACAAAGCAAGATAAATATTCTGTCTAATAAATCAGACACAACTCCACTCCCTACTGATGTGCTACAAAAGGGCAAAGCTTCTAATTCTTCTACCAACGTATTTGACATATACTTTTCAGTCCATCTCTTGCAATTAAGACTTTATTATACTTTGAAAGATGTCAACTGTGGGAGGGTAAATTAAAGTTTCTACCTTTTTTTTTTTCAGGTCCTAACTATTCCCAAGCCTATCCCGAAGGGAAAGGAGAACAAGGAAAGAAGAACAATAGTGCTGTGACTCAGTTCTAGAAATAAAAATAAGAGAAAGAGTAAAAACTCTTTATCAGTTGATAAGGTATTTGCAGTTAGTTATGATAACTCTTTATTGAAGCATACAAACATTGCAGTCACTTTTTAAAAAACTGATATTCATTGAATGGTTCTATATTTTTACTCCTATTTTT